ATTATTATTATTATTAGTTGTGAAAGTGGTGAGACAATGGTAAAATAAGAACTATAGTAGCTTTCTATGAGTTTGATCCATAGTCTAAGCATAGTCCTGCATAGAGTAGACCCACTGAAATAGAGGGGCAAATTTTTCATATCTAATGGATGCCACTGATTTCACTGGGGTTTTCTCTTAAGCAGGTCTGAGGGCTCTTCCACATGAGAGTGTCCTGAACTATTTGGAAATGTTTTCTTCCATTTAATGTTTCTTTTTGTCATGACACCTTCCAAGTGTATCTACATTTTATTCTTGACTTTGTAAAATCCTTTTAAAGTTTTCCCAGGCACTTTTGTTCCTAGTTAATCCTTCTCTTGATCAAAAATATGCTAATTCTTGATACTTCCATCCTCTATAAATAAGTATACCTACACACACAAACACACTTGCAGTTTTGAAATCTCTGCCCGCCCTGTCTATCTCTAGTTTGGTGCATATGAATAAATACCAGGGTGCATGTCCTCTCTTTCTCTTGGTCCCCTTATCCATTTTAAAGTGATGGTTAGTGAGATGTGTAAACAGTTTGGAATAAATTCTTGGAATTGCCCCAAGAGATGAAAGCTGGACCAAAACTGACAAAATGAATTTCAACAGGGAGAAATGTAGGTTACTGTACTTGGGCAGTAAAAATGAAATGCACTGATATAGGATGGGTGACACGTGGCTTGATGACAGTACATGTGAAAGGGATCTAGGAGTCTTAAAGGATATACAGACGGGCACTAAGGGCCGGCATCAGGATGAAGTGGGGTGTGGCGACCACACATTGCATGCCCTGACTCCGCCTCAATGCCAATGTCATGCCGCCCAGATGGTGGGCGGCATCATGGCATTTCTGCAGCACAGCGTTTATACACGCTGTGTCGAAGAAACAGCAAAAAGCCGCCACCACCGTGGCAAGGGCACCTTTTTGCTGGTTATGAAAGCGGCATTTTGCTGCTTCCTTTAGAGCTGGCAAATCGCCAGATCGCGGCCACTAAGTGCAGTTGCTGCAGCCCTGATTCAATGCTCAAAGTGGCAGTGGCAAGCCACTCCTTTGGGGCTGTCTGCTTAGCCTCCTAGTGGACCACAGGCTGAACATGAGTCAGCAATGTGATGTGGTAGCAAAAAAAGCCACTGCAATTCTAGGCTGCATCAATAGGTGTATAGTGCCTAGATTACGGGATATAATAGTACCATTCTGTTCTGCTTTGGTCAGACCTCATCTGGAATAGTGTGTCCAGTTCTGGGCACCACAATTCAAAAAGGATGTTGACAAGCTGGAGCATGTTCAGCGGAGGGCGACCAAAATGGTGAAAGGTCTGGAAGCCATGCCCTATTAGGAGAGATTAGGGAACTGGATATGTTTAGTCTGGAGAAGAGAAAGTTAAGAGATGAAATGATAGCCGTGCTTAAATATTTGAAAGGATGTTCTATTGAGGATGGAGCAAGTTGTTTTCTGCTGTTCCAGAGACTAGGGCATAGAGCAATGGATTCAGGCTACAGGAAAAGAAATTTCACCTCAACATTAGGAAGACCTTCATGACAAGCACAGTTTGACAGGGGAATACACTTACTCAGAGTGTGGTGGAGTCTCCTTTGGAGATTTTTAAACAGAGGCTGGTCGGGAGTGCTTTGGCTGCGTATTCCTGTATGGCAGGGGATGGGACTGGATGGTCCTTGAGGTCTCTTCCATAGTCCATTCTGTGACTCTGGACATTCCCCCTTTCAGTGCTTCATGCAGCACCTTTTGCTGGGGGGGGGGGCGCAGAATGTCTGCCCGGAGAGAAGTATAGTGATTTTAAAAGATGTTTCAAAGGTTCCCAGTGATATCCCACTCACTCCCTATTGCACTTTTTCCATTTGATCTGGGAATGGAAAATTGAAGAGCAATATACTATTTTACTTTGTAAAATTAGACTATTCCTGCAGAACAATTTGAAAATGAAGTGGGAGTGGGGAATAAAAACTAGGCATTGGGAGCCAGCCTCTGTCTTTAAATGGAAGCCAGGAGAGCAAGGAAAGAGAAATAGGTGGAAACCCTCATATTTGTGCATGTGATACAACCTGGAGGGTGACAGAGCAGAAATTTTAAGGTAAAGTATAATTAAGAGAGAAAGTGTCAAGAATATATGTATCTCAGGATTAAAAAAAGGACCAACTAGGAAAATAGGTGACAGGGTATAGTGGATGGGGTTGGGCAAATGAGAACATTCCTCCTCATACCCCCCCCCCCCATATTAAATTTTCTTTCAGTCAAATAACTACCATTGCAGTTGAACATTAGAAATGCAGTTTAGGCACCCTGCAAAAAATTAACATTTCATGACCTTACTACATTATTTTACATGTACAAGCTTTTTTCATGCATTTACCCTTTGTTTGGTGTAGAGCTAACATTTGATGCATTTAGACTGTTTTATGTGAAAATTCATTCACAACTTTGACACATGTGCTGACACTAAATGCCTTGCTTCATCATTGCTTCCATTAAAATCTAAGCTGTCTGCAACCTCCCAGAGAGCATTCTCGGTAATTGCCCCCAAATTATGGAATGGTCTGCTGGACGAGATCCGTCAGATTACAATGCTAAACAGCTTTAAAAAGGCTGTTAAGATGGATCTCTTCTGGCAGGCCATTCCAGAATAGATTTCCCGGCCTCAGGAACTTCCCTATTCTGCCCTTTCCCATCTTGGATCCTGTCGCTACTCTGCTCTATTTCATTATTGATGTCTTGTAGTATAATACTAATAATTGTTATTATTACTATCAAAGAAAAGCAAGTTTAATAATCTTGGTTCTTGAAAGTGACATATTTGAAGGATTTTTCAAGTAGACAGTTTCTCTAAGTTTGCAGAAAAATCACAACTCATTAGTTCAAATCATTATAATAGGATGATTTGAATAATATGCATTTACTTCCAAGTCACTGTTCATTTACAAAACTATTTTGCTTGTGGAAATGTTATATTTTAAATTGATTTGCACTTTTGGAAGCTTTACAACTTACAGTCCACATTTTACTGAGGTTAGGGGTGCAGGACCCCTGTGAAGGTGGAAAAAGCACAACTAAAAAAGCACTATTTTTTGTGTGAGAGAGGACACCTCTCTAGATCCTCTAGCGCACTTCACCAGAAATTAACCATAGAGTCATGTTAGAAATCCTACAAATGCCTAGAGAAGTGTTTTCTCTAGGAATCTGCAGGAATGTGGAGTAAGTGACCATAGAGTTACCCTTGAGGACCTAGAGATTCCTAGAGAGAACATACTCATCAAATCTGTGAATAATCAGATCCGCAAAAGTCAAAGCCGCACATGTGAAGGGCTAACTACTTTCCAAATAAAATGCTTTAATTAGAAGTCAGTTTTGTTATATGTGAAAATCTTTTTCCTCACAAGCCAACCCCCCCCCTCCAATTTTTGTCTCTGCTCTGGCCAATTAAAATTGTCTTGATACACCTTTAATGGAAGCATATTCCTTGGCTGTCAGTCTCCTAATAATAATAATAATAATAATAATTTATTTATATCCCGCCTTTAGCCTTGGCTATCAAGGTGGCTTACATAAAATTAATTACATAAAAACCCTTACAACAATATAAATAACACAATTTGCCCCCCATTAAAAATACATTAAATTCAATTGACGAGTCCAGGAGCACCCCCAGACTACATGGGCACAATGTACACTGGCTCTTGATAGCTTTAAACTAGGCAGTTGCAGAAGATCCAAGGGCTGTATCCACCCTATTTTCCATCTTCCTGGACCTCTACACTCAATCCATTTTTCCAAAACCAACAGTGAGTAGATGATGATTTCCAGTTTCAGGCAACAGCTGTTTCAGGCCCCAAAAGCACTGCCTCCCTGAAATAGCCTTTAAGACTTTCAGGAAGACAGTTCTCTACATCAGACCTGATCTCTCCCCCCCCCCCCCCCCCCCCCCACAGCAATGAAGGGGGCACCATAGGGATGTGGTTGCTCTGTGAGACATGGTGGGCCATAGCTTTTTTTGTGTTAGTGGAGACTGAAAATTATACTATATAGAATCTCAAAGTCCTTAGGTCAAAGAAGAAAAATTGTTGTGATACGTAGTAGAATGTGTCATCCAGTTGGGAGCTGATCTTAGTAAAATATTTATAGTTGTATCTTTTCTTTATTGTAATTATACCATAATGGAAATGTTCTATATATTTCCTATGGCATAGTGGTTTGAATGCTAGACTACAGCTCAGGAGACCAGGGTTTGATTCCCTGCTCCGCCATGAAATTCATTGGGTGATCTCAGACAAGTCACATGCTCTCAGCCTCAGGGGAAGGGCAAAGACAAACCTCCTCTGAACAAATTTTGCCAACAAACCCCATGATATGGTTGCCATAAGTCAGAAACTATTTGAAGGCACAGAACACACACATACACACAGTCTTCCTATATCTATAATAGTAATTAGGAGTGAAAAGCATAGAAAATGACATGTGCAATAATTTGCTGAAATGAATTCTGCATCAAAAATATGTAGGGATACTGCATGTTAGTCAGCTTTGAAAATGATGGGCTACAGCTTGGAATACTTCAAACTCTATTCATTTGCAACTGATGAGATGGTTTATTGCTTCTGTACAGGGTCCCTAGCCAGTAACAAAAATGTTGGCTGTCATGAATGAGCTCATTCACTTGGCAGTATGTTGTAAGGTATTCCTTCTGGCCTTGTTGCAATGATTAGAGATTCTTCCAGTGTGAAATAAAGAAATGTGAGAACATTTTATGAACTGTTTGGCAATTTTCCTCTGTCAGTGAAAGTAGATAGTGACAAGTTTTGCTGAGCTATGGATGCCATGGATACCCAGGAGCAGCACTGAATAGATGATACTGTAGATTTTTTTTTTACTTTTGTTACTATCATAAAGTATAAATTCTGTTTTTGTTGTTGTTAACTGCCTCCGAGTTGATCTCAACCCATAGCTACCCTGTGGATGAGACATCTCCAAGACTCCCTGTCCTCCATTGCTCTGTTTAGGTCCTGTAAACTCATACCCATGTTCTCCTTAATAGAGTCCATCCATCTAGCATGTAGCCTTCCTCTCTTTTTTACTTCCCTCCACCTTTCCTAGCATTATTGTTTTTTCCAGTGAGTTCTCCTTTCTCATGATATGCCCAAAGTACAACAGCCTCAGTTTTGTCATCTTGGCTTCCAGGGAGATCTCTGGATGATCTCCTGCAGGACCCATTTGTTTATTTTTTTGGCTGTCCATGGGATCCTCAGCACTCTTCTC